GGAGAAGCCCGGGTCCATGTTGTGGTTGGTAGGAAGCAAAGAGCAGTCATCCAGCAGCTTCTATTTTTTTTTTTTTTTTTTGAGTCAGGGTTTCACTCTATCACCCAGGCTGGAGTGCAGTGGCACGATCATGGATCACCACTGCCTTGACTCCTGGGCTCAGGCGATACTTCCACCTCAGCCTCCTGAGTACCTAGGACCACAGGCGTGTGCCATCACATTCAACTAACATTTTTATTTTTTTGTGTGGAGATGAGGTCTTGCTATGTTGTCCAAGTTGGTCTTGAACTCCTAAGTTTAAGCAATCCTCCCTCATCGGCTTCTCAAAGTGCTGGGATTACAGGTGTCAGTCACTGTGCCTAGCCTGCCAGTAGATTTTTAAACGTGGTTCCAGAAGCTTTCCTGAGGCCGAAAAAGTCAAGACCTCAGTCTTCCAGAGGCTTTTCTTCTGGGAAGGAGGGTCATCATCTCTCAGAGTAAGGGAATGAGCCCACCGCCTATGGTAGTGTCAGGCCTCTGCCTCGTATGCCTTGCCCGCTTTGGGCAGCGTCTTATTTTACACTGGCCTCCTTGATGCCCTTTCACTGGCAGAAGGTGAGGGGCATGCATTTTGTCTGTGTTCGAGGCCTTGTAACAGATTCTCTGCCAGCTGCATGGTCTGTATTCTTTAGAAGTGATCCATGACCCAAACAAGTTTCCCAAGTGAGTCACTGGGAGTGGCTGCTACCAGTTCTTGAAAGTAACTAAGACATCAAATATGAAGAGCTAGAAGGAAGAGACAGTGACATTGCTGATTGCTCTGTGTCACCTGGATAACTTTTCTGTTGTTCATAGGAAACATTGCAATTTACTATCTATAAGCAAAACAAAAATAGGACTCATAAATTACCTAGGAACTTATTTTATGTCCTCTATTGGAAGGCAGGAGTTCTAGGTTCATACCAATCTCGATATTTGCAATGTAGAGGTATGATACATATCTATTTCATCAAACTGAATTAATTAAGCAGTTGACCTTATCATGGTGGGTTTATATATTAGGGTTGGCTTTTTACTCATCCAAGACCCTAGCTTACTGTTTACTTACTATTTAGACACTTAGACTTTCATGGTTCAATTCTCTGTGATCTAATTTTTTAAAAGAATGGCTAAATCAGGATAGGTGTGGTGGCTCACACCTGGAACCCCAGTGCTTTGAGAGGCTGAGGTGGGAGAATTGCTTGAGGCCAGGAGTCATGACTAGCCTGGGCAACATAGCAAGATCCTATTCACTAAAAAACAAGTATGGCAAAATCAGTACGAATTCATTTTTACCATTGACACTGTTCCTCCAGTTTTGTGAGTCTGTAAATCCATGCAACTCTGACAAATTTACAAGGAAAACAATGTGTTCTGACATAATGTTTGTATCACAGTGAAACAGTCCCAGTTATTGAGAGGAACACTTTTTTCTCCTTTTGTGTTAGAGATGATATGTCAGCAGAACAGAATGTACTTTTTTAGTTGCTGGAGTGACTTTTTTAGTTGCTGTCCTTTGATCTGATCATGGGTGAGTTACAATGCTGTGCTCTAATGCCAAAACCAATTTGTGTTGAATGAGCTGGTTCTGGCTTGCACATTCTTTAAAATGTATTTTTGAGCCGGGCTCGGTGTCTCAGCCTGTAATCCCGTGCCTTTGGGAGGCTGAGGTGAGTGGATTGCCTGAGCCCGTGGGTTCGCAACCCTCCTGGGCAACTTGGCGAGACCTCATCTCTACAATAAATCAAAAAAAAAAAATGTATTTTTGCCAATCTATGATTTCCAATATTTAAAAGAATATTATTTTTAAAAATAAAATGCAAAACAAAATATTTACTTGTAACAATCCCAAATTCATGATTAAAATGAGCTGTGTTTAGTATTTGTGATCAAGATCCCTAGTAAATGCATAGTATATATTTTTAGTATACACACACACACACACATCAGGAACACAAACTGAAGCTGGCAAGTCTTTATTTCCAACTTACTGATGGTAAATTCAAACCATCTTACAAACACCACAAAGGCTTTGTTTACTTTTATTTTACGTGGAATTCTGAAGTACTATCAAACCAAAGGTCTAGGCCCCATCCAGGGAAGTTTGGGAAAGAAAATATCATGTAATTGCTAAGGAAGAGCATCTGTTTTCAGTCACAGTTAGCAGCAGACTCATTAAACCAGAATTGGAAAGAAAAAAATATTTTCTGGAGTCAGGTCTTTTCATTGACATCATTGTGTTGGAAATGAATTTCCTAAACATTAGATACCAATGAATCGCTGAGCACTGCTGAGTGTGTGTGTGTGTGTGTGTGTGTGTGTGTGTGTGTGTGTGTGTGCGCGCGCGCACACACACATGCATACACACATGCCTAATAAGTTAATGGACTGGCCTGTCTTCTGCTTTTTACTGACCCCTAACAGTGGTATTATCCTCTCCTTCTGCTACCACCCGGTACTGACATAGCTTAGAGGTACCCCAAACTCAGCTTCTAAGATAGCTGCAGGGAACATACCAAGGGTGAGGCCTGAAAAGCCCTCAGGAAAACTAAAATGCAGATACAACTCCGAGTTTATTAGTTCAAGCTGTTCACCTTTCCTTCCTCTCTGAACTCCACCCTGGGTCCAGAGAGGGTGAAACTCCACTGGGAGGTCAATGCCAAGGATATATTGAATGCTTGTTCAATTCCTCATTAACTGAAGAAGAGGGGACAGAGGGAAAAAATAATACAAAAGGACTCTGAATGATGGTGAATGGTAGCCTTAGACCTTCAGGCATGAAGCCTAGAGGCTGGTTTGCCAGACATCTTTCTTAGAGGATACCAGCACCCTCTCCCCCGGTCCTCTGCAAATAGCTAAAATGAGAGGAAGAACAGTCCTGTAAGCGTTTCCAGTTGGTGCCACAAGATGGCCTTTAAGCATATGAAAAGATGTTCTACCTCACTAATAATAAAGAAAATACCAATTAGCATTACACCTATCAGACTGGTAAACACCCAAGGAACGGAAATTAACACTCTTAGTAAGACTGGGAAGAATAGTCAGTAAGACTGGCTATACTCAAGTATAGCCAGTGAGTATAGCCAGTGAGAAACGAAATAACACAACCTCTACAAAGGGGAACTTGAAAATAACTAACAAAACTATATTTACCTTTTGCCTTGGAAAATCCCTTTTCAGGAATCTAGGAATCTGGATTGTGGTTACTTCCTTGTTAATGGAAAACAATATTCATGCTAAGTTCTTGCTACTGAAAGTGTGGTCTATGGATCAGTAGGATTAGCCACAGGGACACTTGTTAGAAATGCCCAATCTCAGGATCTAGTGAAATGGAATCCGCATTTTGGCAACAACGCTGGATGAGTTGAATTAGGTTATTTATGATAGCACTATTTGTAATGACAAAAGGTTGGAAAATTCCAAACAGCATACAAAAGGATACTGTGTAGAAAAAAGAATAAGAAAGATCTTTATGTGCCAAATTATAGGGGTCTTCAGAACATAGTGTTAAGTGAAAAAAAGCTAGTTGTAGAACTATTGATAGATAATACATAGATTGCTATCCCTCTGATAAGAAAGGTGGAATTAGAATATATACATATATACATACTGCTTGTTTTTGCAGAAGATAAGATGGAAGGATAAACCTGAAGTTAATAAAATTGGGGTAGGCCGGTCGCGGTGGCTCAAGCCTGTAATCCCTTCTTTGGGAGGCTGAGGTGAGGGTACTGCCTGAGCTCACAGGTTCGAGAACAGCCTGAGCAACTTGGAGAGACCTCATCTCCAGAATAAATAAAAAATTAGCCGGGTGTGGTAGCACACACCTGTAGTTCTGGTTACTTGGAAGGCTGAGTCAGAAGGATCGCCGGAGCCCAGCTGGTCGATGCTGGGGTGGCCATGAGCGTGTCACTGCACTCCAGCTTGGGCGATGGAGTGAGACTCCAACTCAAAAAATAAAATAAAATTGGAGTGAAAAGAACTGAAGAAGGAAGTGAGAGGTCGCTGAGTATTCCTTTATGTTTCACTAATCCAAAAATAAAAGTCACAAGTTGAGGGTTGGGTTTGTTACTGGCATCTACTGGGTGGAGGAGCCAGGAATGCTGTGAAACAGTCTATACTGGCCAAGACAGCCCTCACAGTCAGGAACTACCCGGTCCACACATTAATAGTGTCTATGATGAGAAGCTCTGACGTAGGGTAAGGAAGGAGAAGGCAGCAAACAGCTTGATGTTTCCAAAATTGAACCCCTTTTCAAAACCGGGCTAGCATTTTCCCCACCTCCAGTCACCCCAGACCTTTCTGTTCTCAGAGGCTGCCCCATTCGAGATGGCAGACAGGGTTTTCATTCTCATCTGTATAATTTGTCAGTACCGTGGGGTCTAATTCTCAGGGTCCTTTAAGAGTGCTGGAAGTTTTTGAACACACGCCGTGATGGCATAGGCTTTGCTTATTTTAAAATGTTTGTCCTGCACTCATTTAAGCCTATGTACCAGGAGCTGGCACTTTTCTGGAAACTGAGGCCATAACTGTTTCTTCAGGGACACAATAAACGTAAGAACCGTGGCCCCCGGAATGGAAAAATCCCAGAAGGCCAGGCCTTGGTTCGATTCACCTTCCTGGTTGCTCGGTGGGCAAAGTCAACGCCGCCAGGAAGGACGCGCGGCCCCTGCAGAAGGCGGGGACCGGCCTGCAGCCTGCGGATCCGCCAGCTGCCGGGGCTGAGGCCGAAGTGCAGCGGCGCACCCGGCAGCCCCGGAAGCCTCCCTTGGCCGCCCTACTTCTCTCCCCCGCTTCTCTCCCCCCTTCCTCCGCACCCTTCCCCCGCGGCTACCGGAGGGTGGCGC